CCGTCGCATGTCGCAACTCGCCCGCCACCTCCTCCTCTGGAGTCAGAAACATCTGAGGTCGCTTCGTGCCATTCACATTCCGGGCTTGCACAACCGGGCAGCCGAAGAACTGACACAAGCTGCGCTCCCCGGGGTATCGAGACTTCATCCCCAGACAGTCCAGCTGATTTGGAGACGTTTCGGCACGGACGCACTGGGACACAGCTGGCCGTGGAGCCTTTGCAAGTATGCGTTTCCCCCAGTGAGCCTTCTCGCACAGACACTGTGCAAGATCAGGGAGGACGAGGAGCAGGTCCTGCTCGTGGCGCCTTTTTGGCCCACTCGGACCTGGTTCCCGGAACTGATGCTCCTCGTGGTTGACACCATCACTTCGGCGAGAGCACATCTACGAGACACGCTTACGCCTTGAAGTGGAACCTGTTCTTCAAGTGGTGTTCTTCTCACCGAGAAGACCCCCGGAGATGCCCGATCAGAGTCGTGCTGTCCTTTCTGCAGCAAGGGTTGGAGTGAAGGCTGTCTCCCTCCACCCTTAAAGTCTACGTGGTTGCGATTGCTGCCAACCACGTGCATTACTTTTTGCACTTTTTATGTTATTTCTAGCGAGAAATCATTATTATAGTAATTAAATATTTGTTTAGTTGTCATCAAAACTCGTTCTATTTTGTTGTAGATCATTAAACTGTTACGTTGCCTCAGAAGCCTGTCCGAAATCAGTTTCATAAGGTGCCTTCGTACAAAAACGCTGCCTGCAAAGTCAGCTGCCTAAGTTTTCAGATGCAGCCCCGATCTGAATAATGATTCACTTGACTTAGATTGGAGCGGGTTCGTGAATCTTTTGATTCAGATAGGAGCTTCGGAGAGCGGATCGCGAATCATTTAATTCAGATCGGGACTTCGGAGCAGGTTCAAGAATCATTTTTCTTCTTTCTTTTTTTTTTTTATTAAACAGTACAAAACATTACCCATTAAGGCAGGACAGTTATAAAAACAAAACAAAGAAAAAAGAAAGTATACACAAACACAAATCCCTTAAGAAAATTAACTATGGTTTTACTATAGTATATATATATTACATAGTATATCAATTATATAGTCTACTGTAGTAACCAAGGTTTTTAAATTTTTTT